ATGCTGGGAGCTGAGCATGCTGGGAGCTGGGCATGCTGGGAGCTGGGCATGCTGGGGGCTGGGCATGCTGGGAGCTGAGCATGCTGGGAGCTGGGCATGCTGGGAGCTGGGCATGCCAGTGCCTCCAGGTTCATGGCAGGAGTAGCGGGGAGATAGCAGAACGTTGCTATCTCCTGTGCCTTCCATGGACAGACCCAGGGGTGTTGATCAACCCTTGCTCAGGCTCTTATTACAGGAGTGCAATTTCCCACCCTGGGTGAGATTCATATTCAAATCACAGAAACCTCATGGAGGAGAGGGAGACTCCTTTTTACTAGTTCTGGGCTCCATGTCCATCACATAAAGGGCACCAGGAAGTGCTCACTGTGGGACGAAGTGACAACCTGACATGGAGCATCCTAATGACCAGAGTGTGTGTTCAGGCCTTAACAAAAGCCTTGACTTCTGAATGCTATCCCCATCCTTTTAATGACCTTTGTGTGATCAGTGGTTAGGGCCTCCGTTCACCCCAAGCTATCAATACATTCAAATATCCATGTAGCCATCCTCCTTTGTGTATTGCGAGTATCACTGTTTGTGTGTCTGTCTTCTGTCTATCAGTCATCCATCTACTTTTTTTTTTTTTTAAATCTCAAACTTCAGTTTAGGGCAATTTGGAAAATCAGACAATATGAATCAGACATTTGAGAACAAATGGCAGACTGTTTGGAGTCAATCTAATTTCTTTAGACTTCCTCCTCTCCCCTAACATCCTGCTCATTTGCTTTTTCAAAAACTGGTCCTAGGCTGGGATGATAGGTCAGTGGGTCGATACTTGTCATGTAAGTGTAAGGACCAGATCCAGTCCCCAGATCAAGCCAGATGCCCAAGTCTATTACCCCAGCCAGACTTTTATCACAAGTTCCAGAAGCTTGTGAGCTTCCTAGCTTGATGTACAACTGTGGAGAGTGAGAGACCTTATCTCAAATAAGGTGGAAAGTGAGGGCCAATACCTGAGGTTATCCTCCAATCTCCATATGTGTGTGTGCACGCACGCACGCACGCACGCACGCACGTGTGTGTCCACTGATCTGGAAGGATGAATTCAGCTCCCCATAGGGCCCTTTCCTCATGAGGGCATGTGGACACCTAGCATCGTGAGTGCCTGGTGTGTTGGCATAGCTGGCAAGGTCTTGGTCGCTGACCTCTCCATCTCTTTCAGATCACCTTTGCCTCCTTCAAGCCTTCGCCGGACGTGTGCGTTTCCTGAGTGGTCCTGCAGTGTTGGCTGTCACAGATCGCCTCTCAGGTGAGCACCGGTAACCCCACCCAGCCCGGACAGCCTGTCCATCACTGTTCTCCACTGAAATGTAGTTTTTTAGATTTCAAAGACATTTAAGAATTTTCATAGTCTGCTTTTTCTCTAACACTCTCCCCGTTACCAGAAAGCAGTCTTTGTTTTTGGTGAAAGTGAGGTATGTATGTATATAACCAAATAGTTTCTAAGACTGTATTTCTTCCTCATTACAGATCTGGATTTCTCTATTCCACTGAGTACCTTTTTAGAAAGTGTGTGGTGTGTGTGTGTGTGTGTGTGTGTGTGTGTGTGTGTCTGTGTGTGTGTGTGTCTGTGTGCATGTGCCTGTGTGCATGTGCAGGTGTGTGCACATGTGTACAGAGGCCAAAGGGCTTCTTTGGTTTCCTTTCCTTAGGCGGTATGCACTTAGGTTTTTTTTTTTGTTTTTTGTTTTTTTTTAAGACAGGGTCTCTCATTGGCCCGGAACTTGTTAAGTAGGCTAGCGTGACTGGAGTTAACTCTTCAGTGATGGGTACAAAGCACAAGCCGCCACACCTGTCTGTCTGTCTTAGGGTTTTCTGTTGCTGTGAAGAGACACCAAGACAACAGCAACTCTGATAAAGGAAACATTCAATTGGGGTGGCTCTCTTACAGAAGTTCTGTCCATTATCATCATGGCAGAGGACGTAACAACATGGCACTGGCTACATACTGGCTTGCAGGCAATAGGGAGTTATCTGAATTGCTTGGCGGTATCCTGAGCATAGGAAACCCCAAAGCCCGCCCCCACAGTGACGCACTTCCTCCAACAAGGCCACGCCCACTCCAGCAAAGCCACACCTTCCAATGGTGCCACTCCCTATGAGATGATGCGGGCCAATTACACTCAAGCTATCTCTCTGTGTCCGGTGTATTAGTTACTTTTCTGTTAGTGTGGTAAACACCATGACCAAAAGCAGTGCATGGAAGACAGAGTTTATTTTGGCTTATAGTTCCAGAGGGATACGAGTCCATCATGGCAGGGGAGGCGTGGTGGGAGGCAGCCAGAGCAGGAAGCCGAGAGATCATATATTCAGATGCAGACATGAGGCAGAGAGAGAGTGAATGGAGGCGAGGTGAGGCCAGGAACTCTCGAAGCCTGTCTCTCAGTGATGTGCTTCCTCTGAGAAGGCCACACCGCATCTCTAAACAGCATCACCAACTGGGGACCACTGAGTGTTCAGTATCTGAGCCTAGGAGAGGCATTTCTCACAGAAACCACCATATGTGGGCTCTGGGGATAGAATTCGGGGTGTAAGGCAAGTGCTTGACTGACTGGGCTATCACCAGACGTAGACTCCTTTGATTTGTTTGTTCGTTTGTTTGGAAACAGGCTCTCCCTATGTAGCCCAGGCTGGCCTCCTATGTAAAGTTCTCCTGCTTCAGTCTCCTTACTGTTGGGATTACAGATGTGTTTCCCTACATCTGGCTTCCACTGATGAGTCAGGAGGGAATGGCTTTTTCACCTAGGCACTGCCTAGCCCATGATTTAGTAGCTGACAATTGTCACAAAAATTAAATTTTAAAAAAAAATGCTGCTTCTTTGGCCAGACAAAGGCTGTCAGGTGCCATCCTCTTCCTCCACCTGGGTGATGTCCATACCATCCTAGCACCTCACATCACCTCCTCTGTCCCCTTTTCCCCTGTGCTCTTGGGAGTGCACCCCATGGTGAGTCACCAGGGTGCTGCCTCCCCCAATGTCCCCGCGTCTTGGATGCTCATGAGGTGCTTGGTTGCCACAGGCAGCATCGTTAAGGACTTTGGGTGCTACCTCTGAATTCTGACTTCTCTGTCCTGTCTCTTGCCCCGGACCTTGTCTCTGTGTCCTGGTTTAGTCTTCCCGATGCCCCTGGAGTGACTCTTTACCTCCCATTCAGGTACCAGGCCTCCTCTAAAGCTGTGGCATGAGGGCTGGGAGCATCCGTGGTGGCTTCGGTGTGGGGTTTGGATGCCTTGGGGGTGAGGTTGAGGGGTGTGGAACTAAGATCACCCAGGAGACCAGACACAACCTTTTTCCCGTGGCCCACAATCAGTGTTTTGCAGCCTAAGGCTGCAGCTCAGTGGTAGAGCGCTTGACCATAATGTGCAAGGTCCCAGGTTCCGTCCCTTGCCCTGGAGAAAAAAGTGCCGGGAACAGAGCTCAGTGTTAGAGCGCCTGCCTAGCATGCACGAAATTCTGGGTTTGATTGGCAGCACCGCGTACACTGGACGTGGTGACACAAGCCTGTGATCCCTGTGCTTGGGATGCAGAAGCAGGAGGACCAAACATTCAAGGGCATCCTTGGTTATATAGGGACCAGCCCGGGGTCAAAAAAGACCCTGCCAAAAAAACAAGACAAAAAAACAAAACAAATATCTGCCGGTAACTTAGAGGGCTGAGGTGGATGAGGAGTCTCACTATCATAGATTATCCACTTACTGTTAATATTCCCCATTTCTTTTCAAGAGACCTCCGAACCATGTTTCTCCCAAGCTCTTCTGCTAACTAGGTGTTTGCTAGAAACGCCTCCAACACAGGCATGGACCAGAACTACACAGTTCACTAGGGGTAAATCTTTTGTAATTACTTCAGCTGTCTTTTAGGCTCAAGCTGTCTTTTAGGGGTTGCTTCTTCACCATGGTTCCCGGAGGGATTCTGTCCCTCTGCTAACTTAAGAGACTGACCTGGCCAGTTGAGTGACTACCATGTCCCTGTGCCCGGGGACCATGGCTCTGGGGCGGCTGAGATGTGGGCAGGGGAGGGAGTGTGGCCTGGGCAGCTGAGATGTGGGCAGGTTGTTTGCTGTTCTTGGTCTTTGGAGGTCAAGTGTAGCTCATTGCACAGAGGGTCAGAGTCCAGGAGGACCTGTACAAGCCATGGCAGAAGAAAATAAGAATCTGGTAGGGCAAGGGCTGGAGACCCCATTGGTGGAGGCCGATGTCTTGTTTCTGAACTGGGTTCGAGTTAGGGTTAGGAGTTAAGGTCGGGGTTAGGGATGGTTCTTGGGATTTCTCTCCTTTTCCTTTTTATTGGTTTTCCCCATTTTTTTTTTTATTGTTTTAAGATACACATAACATGAGCTTTACCACTCCATTGAAGGAGATTCTTTGGGTATTGACTACATTCATAACGTTGTCCAACCACCACTACCACCCACCTCTTTTCATCTTGTGGAACTGAAAATTCTCACCCTATCAAAAATAACTCCCTGCACCCCTCAGCCCCTGCAGCCACCGTTCTGCTTCCTGTCTCTGTGAGACTGACTTCCGAGGCACTTCATGGAAGTGGACTCCTACACAGTTCATCTTCGGGAGACTGGCTTATTTCACTCCGCATCATATCATCAAGGCTCACTTATGTTGCAGCAGGCATTAGAATGTGTGTGTGTGTGTGTGTGTGTGTGTGTGTGTGTGTGTGTGTGTATAGGTGGGTGTGCATATGTGTACATGTGGAGGCCAGAGGTTGACCTAGGGTATCTTCTTCAGTTGCTCTCTACCTTATTATTATTATTTAAATATTTACTTATTCTATGTGTGTGTGTGTGTGTGTGTGTGTGTGTGTGTGTGTGTGTGTGTTCGTTCCTGAGTGTATGCCTGTGTATCAGATGTGAGCAGAAGCCCTGGGAGATCAGTATAGGCATTGGATCCCCTGGAACTGGAGTTACAGGTGGTTGCAAGTTGCCATGTGGGTGCTGGGATCTGAACCCGGGTCCTCTGTAAGAGCAGAAAGTGCTCTACACCACTGAGCCTGCTTTCCGGTCTCCTCCACCTATTTTTTGAGACAGAGTCTCTCAGTGAACCTGGATCTCATCAATTTGGCTAGACTGGCTGACCAGACAGCCAAGAGAGTCTCTTGTCTTTATTTCCCCATTGCTGGTATTATGAGCTATGCCTGGCTTTAAAAAATGTTATTATCTGGCTTTTTAAAAATGTGAATTCTGAGGGAGTGAACTCAGGCCTGTATGCTTTCAGCAAATACTTTACTATCATTTTCTTAGCCTCCAAATTTTCTTTTGAAGGAAGAAAGACAGACTACTGTATGCACATCCCAGACTGTGTTTACACTCCACCTGATGATGGACACTGGGATACTCCTAGCTTTGGGCCCCTGTGACATTAATATCACTACAAACACAGAATGCACATGTACGGTTTTCATGGCCTCACTTTGGTTGTGTGGGTGAGAGATCCCACAGAGACTCAGGAAACATTTTGGCTGTTGAATATATGTAGCTGCTTCTCTCCTGCCTCCCTTTCTCAAGGTTACTGGGCCACTCTTCTGCCTTCTTGGTGACTGCTCCCCAACACAGCCTTCTCAAAGCCCAGAGAATACAGCATTCAGCCTGTCCCAGGCAGTTCCTCTCTTCATGGAACCTCTCATGGCTCTTTGTATTGGAGCCTTTCTCAGAGATGCGTACATGGCTGCAGGGTAGAGACCTGCCTTCCCAGTCATCACTTTGACACCTGAGAGAACTGTGACCATTGGTGTTCCCAGGGGACCCCCCCCCCCCGCCAAGATGGGATGCAAGAACCTTGGGGTAGTCATAGGCAAAATTTACACTCGATGGAAAAATGCTGTGGAGAGTATCAGTCTGACCTGAGGAGGATATTCAGGTTATCTGGTTCCCCTGACAGGGACATCCAGGTTATCTGGTTCCCCACTGTCTCAGAAATCAAAGGAACTCCCTTGGGTTTGAAGATGTTAAGCCCATGAGAGAAGGACAAACTGGGCATTTTAAAGCTCTAGACTAGCCTCTGGGACATGGGACTCCCCAAGGTTTGGAGGACAGTGTGGTGCAAGCTTTTGGAGCCAAGGCAAAGTGGCCTCTGTCTTCAGCAAGGTCTTGATGGAGGAGAAGTCCTTGGCCTGAATCTTGCTTTCCTCCTCTGAACAATGGGTTCACATCCACCCTTTTAGCAGGAAATGGAGTCTTGAAGTTCCAAATCTTGGGTTGGAGTGATTTTTCAGATATGGCTAGGCCCATATAGTCTTCTAGAACCTTCTAGTTTCTTGGTCCCATAAATCAAATAATCACTGTTCTTAGACTTATTACCTTCACCAGTACTTGACTAGGATGCTAGGCAGAGTGGGCTGTGCATGCATACACACACACACACACACACACACA